GCTTTGTTACTGAGCTAGTTGTATCTATAACACATACATAGAAGATAGTTATCTTTATTACTGATAAATTTAATTTTTTTAAGTCAAGTAAAATAAAGTATGATCTAATTTGAGAAAATTATCTCCACAACTAGCAATAACTATGTTATTACAAGATAATAATATTCTATAAATCTCCTACATATGTACCTGAAGAGGGTAATGGTTCAGAGACTAGAACAAGCCCATGGATGTTTCCTGTACTACCAGTTTGAGATTTCTTGTATGAAAGTAAGGGAATTTCTCCTCCTCCTTGTAACTGTTTTTCAACTTCTACAATAACAATTTTCATATGCATTTTTTATATATATAATATATTTTTACTTACGTCATTTTACCTTCGGTAATACTAGATTCTTGAAACATATTTTCAAGAGAATGATGAATCTCTTTAAAAGTAGGTCGGTCAGCAGCAGACCACTGCCAACATTGGCGCATCAATTCATATACTTTCGGTGGACATCCAGGAGGACATTCCATTCTGTAGCCTTTTTCCAGCATGTGATAGACATCTGTTAGATCCACGCCTGGGTATGGAGACATGCCATATGTTGCTATTTCCCAGAGTAAGATACCAAATGCCCATACATCAGACTACAAGTATAATATGATCAATTTAAGGAATGAGAAACCATAAAAAATTATGTTATAATAAAAATAATGTTATTTTACCTTCGTGGAGAATTTATTATATGCTAGTCCTTCTGGAGCAGTCCATTTTATAGGGAACTTCGCTCCAGCGTGAGCCGTGTACGTATCATCTCTCATCAACCGGGCCAAGCCAAAGTCTGCGACCTTCACCAGATGATTTTCACCCACTAGGCAGTTTCGAGCCGCTAGATCTCTGTTTCGAAAGTCGCGATGTTAACGCGAGCTCGTTTCTTAAGAGAGGACGATGAAATTTAAAAAAATTTCTCCTAACTAACTGAATGTACGTTTTTGTTCGGAATATAATCTGCTATTACGTTTCTTCAGTGATCCTTGTGATGCTACAAATCGCGCCCTAAAAACAGCTAGTTACAAGAAAAGTGCTTTAAATGTAACGGTTACTTTTTGGTATAACACATATCTTAAAGCTATAAAAATTTGTTGATATGTATTATGTGGAAAAGTGAACATTACATTTGATGTACTTTACTTGTTACTTCCTTTTAATGCTTCTCTTGCAAAAAATATTTGAGTTACCCCCAGCATTTCAAAAAATGAAAATATATAATAATTGAAATGCATAACAAAATTATTTACCATAGGGAACTATCAATAAAAATACTTTCGTTTTCATAAGAAAATGTGTTGGTATGTATGCTATATAAAACAGGAAAATGTGTTTATTCTAAAATGTTCAAAAATGATACCTGTGAATGAAATTTCTGCTTTCCAGATAACTCATTCCACTGGCAATCTGTGTAGCCATATGCATCAGAACGACAGCATTGATTTGATGTTTGCTTTCGTTCCGCAAATAGTCTAGCAGATTCCCTTTGCTCATAAACTCTGTAATGATATAGAAAGGCGGCTCCCGAGTACATACACCTAATAACTGAACTAGATTCCTGTGCTTCATCTCCTTCATAATTGCAGCTTCCTCCAAAAAGTCCTTTAGAGCCATTGTATCCTCCTATAAAATATAAGAATTCCAAGTATTTCCTTATGTAATATAATGTAAAAATATTCAATTTATTTTTCGAATTCATATAAAAATTTGATATATTTGCATATTTTACATTGTTATATCAAAATTATAACTACTACATTAAAAATCTTTACCTTCAATGTTTTTACAGCAACAGTCATGTTGTACCTCTTCCACACAGCTTCATAGACATCTCCATATTGCCCCCCACCTAATTTATGCCTCATAACTATGTCTGTCCTATTAATTTCCCATTCATCTGGTTCTAAAACGTAATAATTTTAATAAACTTTAGAACCTACAAGCGATAATTAATTTAAATTTTATACAATGAAACTTTATTACAAATATACTTCTCCAGTTTTTATTATTTTTTACATACCTGGACTAAGTGGAAAAACAGTAGGTTTATTGTGCTTTGGTGCAGGATAAAGTAGTTGTGTGATTAGACCATCAGCAAGCATTGAATGATGATGTACTAATTCTGCCAGAGTGTTAAATTTGCTTTCAGTTGTGACAAACATCTAAAATATGAATGTTTCATAATACTATGCTTACATCACATATTACAATTTCATTGTTGGCATTATGTATACAATTTTATACCTTCCCCTCACTGTCTTCATTAATTCTATAGTGATAAACTCTACCCTCATACCGCAGAGAAATACTGCGTTGACCGGGACTGCTCTCTGATTCACGAACCAGAAAGCTACCATTTATACCAGAACTTAGAAGATACTCTGCAGCATTCCTGGATATTCTTCCATGATACCAAGAATGTTTTTCCAGAGAATTTACTGGGGTGACATAATTTGAAGGAACCCATCCCACTTGACCAGTACTTGAATGAGCTTCACACCATTCTCCACTTTTATTATAACTTAGAATACGAACTTGCTCTCCTGAATGTAAATAATTTGTAATAAATGTCACAAATTCTTCTTTAATATAATACAGATATGACTATATATTTCTGCCAATGTAGATTTTCATACATATTACACTACAAAACATTACCTTTTTTAAGACTGAGCTGATTTTCTCCACCTGCCTGAAAATCATATAGAGCAACAAATAGTTGGGGATCATCCTCCTCCTGTGCTAATAGGTTTTCCTTACTGGTCCACCTGTATAATACATATAAATATTGCAATTTGAATTATATGGTAAATTTCTATGCACAAATTATTATATTTGTATTTTAAATATATTTCTGTATTTGAAATTGAGGTATAAGATACTTGTGTTTATGTATTCTATAATGGAAGAGTTTAATAAAGAGTAAAAAATAAAATTTTACCTGTTTGCAGCTTCCAGAAGCCCTGCAGAAGAAACACCAGTATGCTGTTGAATATTCACTTGTTGTGAAATTGGCTGAATGCCGGACCCATTTGGAGGATCGCCGTCTGGTAATGCCGGAATGTGAGGTAGCGGTCTGCTTTGTAAAAGAGCTTCTGCACAACATCATAATACTGTTGTATGCATATGACTACAAATTAATGTAAGAAACTTAATTAATAAAACTTAACATCAATATTTTTATCTTCTGCATTTTATCTTTAAAAAAGAATTTGTACTTAGTTTTCACTAACAAAATATGCTATGAAATGTCTGTTAATACATAATGTTAACATGTTATTTCAACAAAGCAATGCCTATTGAAAATATCTGAATTATTTCCTTTATGATTCCATGTATTCCTATATATATATATAACAATAAGTTAACTATAAGTTAACAATTGTAATCTCAACTATTAAATTATTTTTTAAATAACAGATACAATTGTTCAATACACATGGATTCTAAGAGCATGTACAACCAAACTGTAACAAATGAAAAGTAACTCAGAGTATCAAGTAATTTAACAATAGATTCACTTTGTTAGCAATATTATAATTAAAAATTGATAATTAGTCATTAATTTAATGAAGAAACTACATAAATATGCATATGCGTACGTGTATGTACTAATTATATAACCAAATTAGTCTTTAACTTAGTTTTTTTGCATGTCATTACTTGCAATTTTCTTTTTATTTTTCGTAAACTTTTATATTCGGGATCTGGTGCAAAGCAAGTAAAGTACACGAACGCAAGAGAGAAACTAAAAGAGAGAGGGAAAGAAAGTGCAAGGGAGAGATGTGAAAAAAGGGGCGGAAGTAAGAAAGAAATAGGAGATAAAAAGCGAGAGAGTAGGAAAATAAGAGAAGGAATTACCGCTGTGCTCCGTAAATATATTGGAGCCGACAAGACGGGACTCTTTAAGGTTCCTTGGCTGTTTGCGCATCTGTCGCACAGCAGAGCCGGCAGGAACAATTCTCTCCTTAGTCTGTTGAGCACCCATAGTTCCCGAATTGGCATGCCCTTAGATTAATCCCGGCCGCAAAACTGCCGGGGCCGTTCACTCGGCACATTCACTTTCGGCCTGACAGTCTAACGCTCGATCGCATCTCTCGCCGGCCTCTGCCGACGACGAGAACACCCGAGATTCACGAATCTCACCACAACGCGAACCTTCTATTCACATTTTTGACCAGCACTCAAGATCGACATTCTCGCCATGTTTGACAGCTTCGACGTCGACGATAGCTCGATTCGCACCGTACTGTTTACTACTTTTACTTACCACCAGAGTCATTTCTGTTTCCTCATTGGACAGTCAATTTTCTGGACAAAGATTTCATTGGCTAACAGCTTTGTTGACCGATAACATCATCCAAAGTCTATGTTCTTTGTTATTTATTTCCCTTTTTTATTTCATTTGCTTGTAAACATTTGTATTTATTAGAAGAAGTACTCAACATTTAGGCTTAATTCAAGTATACCTGTTGTAATTAAATGAAGATTCAGTGGCATATCATTTTCAAAATAAATTTTACAAATTTATAATTATACTTGTCTCTGCAAAAGTGTTTTTGATTAATTCATACATTTTGTTATTTTTCCTATCATTAAATAAAGTATAAACGAAAAGGCACTATTTATACAATTTAGTAATATTTGTTAGTAACATAGTTAAATATACCGAACATAAAGAAGAGCAGAATTATAGGATATAAGGAAACAGGAATATTATTTATTTTCAAATTATCAAATTATCAATTATATTTTATTGTATTATAATCGTATATAATTGTATAATATATATTTTAATAATGTGTCTATGGTATTAAGTTAGAAAGTTCTATGGTTTTGGAACACAGCCAACGCTCGAAAGATACGTCGATGACTGAAGCGACGGCAGCGCTATATCGGAACCCGAACTTATTACAAATAATACGAAAAATCCCGAGGATTGCCGAAGCGATTTAGTGACGTCATGCTGAAGCAGAAGAGATAAGACAGTCAAAAAAGTGAAGTTCTGTTTTCTAATATATTCGCATCTCGTGTAGATACTTTGTTAACTTCGTAGTTTTGAAAAATGTCGTACGCATTCCTTTTCAAGTACATCATTATTGGAGATACAGGTAATTATTTGATCTTTCTCAAGAAGTGCATGGTAAATGGTTCTTACATTCTTTACTACGTCGACCGTGACAGAATCTATTGTTTTCGTTTCTTTCCACGATAATATTTTTGATTCGCAAACTGTACGGTACTCTGAAAAATTATAATGCGCTTATTTTCCAATGGCATTTAGTATTAAGAATCAAATATTTCTCAATAAATTATTTGTGCACAGCTTTTATTGTATGATAACTTTGTCAACTTGAAAGATGTATTCTTTTATTTACGTTAATAACAGATTTCATATCCGATTTCTTATAGGCTGCATGTAATCCATTAGAATTGTGTTATTATGTACTATAATCAGGAATTTTTTGTATGCATTATTTCTACAGTACGGACGTTGCGTTGTTTACTTTAATATTGTTTATTACATAAATGCAATTTATTGTTGAACTTTTGCTTGTTAATAT